GGGGGGGAGTCCAGTTGTCGGTATAACGCCCTCAGCTCCTTCACCTCCTCCAGCACCTCCTGAGCCTGACTCCACGTTGCCGCCGCCTCCCTCAGGAGTCTCTCAGCTTGAGTCGACTCCTTCCCCTTCATCCTCCCCCGTTCCCCGGCCTCCCCCCGCGCCTCTGTCAGCAGCCGCTCCGTCTTCTCCAGTTTCTGGCTGATCAGCTCCTGCAGCTGGCTGATGGGCGCCGTGGTTCCACTCAGCGCCACCGTTTTGTTCTTAGCGACTTTAGTCTCCGAGTGCGTCAGGATCTCGTCCATGGAGGCACAGCGGTTTTTCTCCGCCGGCGTCAGGCGTTTTCCCGGCTGGGGGGTCTGGCCCGTCTGCTCCCAGACCACTGCCACCTCCCGGGGAAGGCTCTGGGATTTCCCAGAAGCCTCGGCGGTTCTGGCGGAGAGAGTGCCGTCGGTTTTGGACCTGGGACAGTCCGGACTGAGGTGGGACGGCGTTTTGTCCGAGTCGACCCTGAACCTGTCGCAGCCGTTGGCTCCCAGGGGAGACGGAGCGTCCTCCTCCTGGATCAGATCCAGAGTCAGCATCCCGTCTGAGGAGGAGGAGGCCTGACAGACCGAGAGGAGGAAGATCAGAACATCAATACCTCAGTTTATACGATCTGAAACAATCTCAACTCAAGGTCCTCTTACTTCCTTTGCTTGTTCTGGAGCGTTTTACATTTATTACACGGTCTTCATCAGTCGATTCCTTTGAAAGTTTGGAGCAACTCATCCAAGTTGTCATTAAACGTCCGGGAGGACAGTGTGATGCGTTTGAAAGCTCCAGAACAAGCCATTAAGTGGATGGATTAAGATCCAAGATGTATTCAATTGAAATTACAGATATTTTATTTTGAAAGGGCTTCTGTTCGAGGAGAGTAAGGAGGTGATGAAGGAGGATCAGACTGACCACAGCCAGCAGGTGACCTCTGGTGGGCAGCCGTCGGTTGTGAGGAATCTTCACTCGATCTCGAGTCAGATGAGACAGCTGAGAGTCTTCTACTGTCACCTGTAAACAACAAACACAAACCTACTGTCACCTGTAAACCACAAACACACCTCCTACTGTCGCCTGTAAACCACAAACACACCTCCTACTGTCACCTGTAAACAACAAA